ATAATAATAATAAGGATTTTTGTAGCACCATATGTACATGCTCACGGTGCTTTTCAACTGAATTTTCAAGACCAAAAATTGTCGATCAAAAACGACATCAATAACAAAACACAAATAAATAAAAGTACAAATTAAAAATTCCTATCTAAAATTAAGATTAAAATTAAGGAAAAAATTTAAAATTCAAATTCTTATTGCAATATTTCTAACAGAACTTTAATTGAAATGTTCTTTGAATGAGAAAGTCTTTATAGAAGTTTTAAATCTTGAAATATAATCATGATTATGTATGGGTTCTGGCAGTGAGTTCCATTGTAGGTGCTGCAAACGAGAATGATCTACAGCCATGTTTCTTCAATTTTGCTGATGGTATCGTGGGGAGCCACTTAGAAGATCATAAGCTTCTTGATGGTTTGCAGGGCTGTAACATTTCTGTTATATAGGAAAGTGCTAACCTATGTAAGGCCCTAAAGGTTAACAGAAGTATCTTTTATTTGATACAGCTGTACACGGGAAGCCAGTGTAACTGTTTGAGAGTTGGTGTGATATGATCATGTTTCCTGGAAAAACGACCAATCAGAGATTGAGGAGAGCCATCAATAAATGAATTACAACTATTTAATGTAGAGGATATAAGAGATTTCTGAGGAACTGAGATTTCAGCATCTTTTTATGAGAGACTGTCTCTTATTATATAGCTATATTCCTAAGATGAAGAAAGCAAGTTTTAAATATGGCAGTGACAGTGTTCAACAAGAGTCAATCCTTGGTCAAAGGTGACTCTGATTTTCCTAGCAGAACTCACAGCCACTGAATACTGGAAATTCTTCATCTTGCGAAGACAGAAAATTGTTGGTAGATTAGCCAGTGACTTTACAGGGGTGAAAGAAAGCATTTGCCACAAGGTGCTGTCGACCTCAAAGAAGTGCTTGTCTGTAATACCAGGTTGATTAAACAAAGAACCATTGTCTTTAAAGCAACTTTACTGCACCAACTACCATGAATAAAGCCGCTCAGAGCCCACCAGGGTCATAGTTTCCGCCTTCATTTTGCTTCTTTTGATCATGTTTTTCTTCTAAAGCCTCTGATCTTTTCAAGTCTTCTTGATACTTGCTTTTATGTTGTGCAACATCTACACTGAGCAGATCTTGAAGTCTGTAACCCTCTTCTGTATATTTGCAAGGAGGAATGTCAAGGGCTTGGAAAAGGCTAAGAACAGCAACTAAACCAACATTGAAATGAGAAAGTGCCTCCCACAGTACTTTTTTTAATCATCACTTCCACCATCTCATTCAAAGATCCGTTTTGATTCTGTTTCTTGCCATGAAGGCACTTCTGCAGTAAGTTATCCGCACCTAGTCTAACATTCAGTCTTTAGCTTGGCAATGACCATGCCTGATATTCTAGGAAAGTCTTATCCATGTGGTTGTGAGGCTTATGCTGTTCACATTCTTGGCTTGTGTGACAAGTAGCCCAGCTTTTGCCATTCGTTGCCAAGTTGCTGTGGAGAAATTTCTCAGTTCCAGCTGGAGGCATATTCATAATTGAGTGGAAGTGGCCTAAAATTAGACATTAGGACTGTATTTAAGGGTGAAAATGGAAAAAAAATCTAAATAACTAAATTTGAAGAAGTTATTTAAAAAGTATTAAAAGATATTAAGTGATAATCTAATCTACAATATCTCTAATCTGACTTAGCTCTGACATGTTTTGGTTAATTCTGGTTTTAAATGAAAGTAAAGATCAGTAGAGTCAAATGTTTCCAGAGAGAAAGCTCCACAGTCTAGCACCACTTTAAGGAAAAAATTTTTGGATGTATTTGGTCTTTTTATCACTTTCCCTTGATTTCCAGGTAGATGCCACTAACGACAGAGTAAACAAACCCTTCAACACACTGGTAATGTCCAGAGTTAAAGTTGCCTTAGTACCCTGAAAAAATGTCAGCTCTACACGTTTTCATTAGTTGTTTGATGGATTTAATTGGCTTATACTGTTTGAGAAGTGTACCCCTTATACTTGACCCTTGCTTCTTCCACTTCCTGCTTGTTATTGTGGGTATGACAGTGGGATGAATTAACTGTTACGCTTGCTAGGAGTGGCCTTAGTTGGTAACGTGTATGTGCCTCGGCAGAATTACAAGGTGGCATCTAAGAGTTATCATTTGGATGTAAATATATATTTATCTTTGAGTCTTTTTTTTGGCATCACCTTTGCAAATTCAGGGATGCCTGAAATGTAATACTCTGTAAGTGATGACAAATAATGGATACTCATGGCAATTATCAACCTACCAAAAAATCTCCCTAAAGTCAGTTCCCTCAGCAAGGTATGATTTCTTTTCCACTTGGACTTTGAACTGCAAACTGGTTTGTTTTGCAAACAGTTTAAGTCAGCATGCAGCTGTTAACAAGGAAAAAGTAATCCAGTGCCTTATGGGTTATAAATAAAATTCTAGAATAATGCAATGATTCACTGGAAGCTGGTAATAATTTTAAAGAGTGTGTGTAATATGGTCTTGCTTTCTTGTAAGTGTGATGAGTCAAGTAGCAGCATTCTGGATGTGCTGTGAGGTAGACTCAAATGCATGAATGAGTAGTTCAGTGATGGTCAAACTAATACAATACAAACTTGTGAAGCGAAGAATCTAATTCACTATTTCTGCTGGCTTTAGGGGGGCATGGTTTGTCTCCAATAACATTCACTTGATTATCTCCAAATCCAAACTTGAGTCTCTACGGGACCCTTTCAATTTAATGCATCCTTTTGTCCATAAGCAACAAATCGCTTTTTGGTTTTTTTCAATTCATAATGTTTGAATTGAGATTTGTACAATTCAGAGAAAATGATGTTGTACTTACATGCAGTATCCATTATCATTTTTGTCTTCCATCCATTTAAGTTCACTAGGACTGAACTATCTTGTTTGTTTCTTGAATACACAGGTTCTTTCTCATCATCAGAGCTCGTTTCTTCATTAATCCATCCTGCTCTCAGGTTGTGTGCTTTCTTGTCAGATCTCTTTGGATTCTTGCTTGACTTCAAGTTACTGTTTCAGTTTGAACAGCGGTGGGGTTTCTTAGTCAATTTACACACCCTGGCAAGATGACCCATTTTTTTGTAGGCAGTGCATCTCAAGCTTATCTCACCACATTCATCAAGACTGTGTCCATCCATTCTTCGACATTGGTAACACGTGAAGTTCTTTCTGTGTCTGGTTCTATCTAGTTCTTTAGTGTGCATTTGATCCACTTGTATTGGGTTTTCTTTTGTTCCTTTCTTAATCAAGGTAGCATCCTGTTTTGAGGTTTGGTTGCTTCTCGCTAGTTTGAAGGTCTTGCTGTAGAAGTTTTTATGAAAGGCTCTTTGATGCACATTTCTCCCAGATCTGATCTTGGATCATTTCCTCTAATGTGCCAAAATCGCGTGTCTTTGTTAGTTCTCTAAGGGCAGTGTGTGGTATCAATCGTTTCCTGTGCCCTTTGTCCTCTGAATTGGAACTTGTATCTTTGGGAAACCACGTTTCTTTTTGGGGAGAAGACGTTTTCCAATGCTTCCTTGGTTTCATCTAGGACCGCTTGGCAGAATCTTAAAAATTCTTTGAACTGTGGGACCAAGGCAGTGCTAAAGAGTCATTTGCTAGATAGGGTTGTTCTTCTTCGCAGAATGTCAGAATGTGATAATAAACAGTATCAAAAGCAGCAGATAAGTTATCTCCTTTCTCAAGCAATTCTTTGAGTGTGTCCAAGTTATGAGCCAAGCACAAATATTTTCCTTCATTCAGCCCATCAGTAAGCTTAGAGCTAAATCTATAATGATCTTTGTTGGCTTTCTCTCTGAGCTGAGGTAGCTTTTTAGTTAATCCACATGTAGGCTGTGTATTCTAAGCAGTCGAGCTTCATACCATACTGCACCTTTGGTTGTGTTTTTCTTTAGATACTGCAAAAAGGCAGTACAAACTGCATAACTTGTCTGGTCTAGGCTTACTTATAGGAAACAATCTTCTCTCCCACTCTTGCCCTTAACTTTAGCCATTGCTTCTTTCTCCTCTCTCTTATTTCCACACAGGTACGTAACATTTGGAAAATGAACTCGTGCTTGGTGTTTTTAAAGAAGTCTGCTAGCCTTTTCATTTTATTCTAATTCCTTCAATGCTAAATATGCAAAATTTATATCATTTTTAAATCCAAAACTTTTTTGTTTAGACCATTGGAGGGCATTTGGGTTGATTTTCTTCCCTGGAAAAGACAGTTAATTAGGTCCAAGTTGAGGTCAACTTGCTAGTAGATAGGACTAGGAGTTGCAGTTACAGTTGCAGATTCAACATTTTTGGGACTAGATGCCGTGCCTTATTGGCTTCTTTGCTTAATAAAAACCAACCCTAGGTAGGTTCTGATTTTTGGTGTCTAGCAATGGAATATCACTTTTGGAGTTACTGATTATTTTTGTCTTCCACATAGATGCTTAGGCCACAAAAAATATAGTGCAAGTCGACACACACGAGAGAAAAACTGATGATTGGTTGGTATAAACTTGTTATCAGCACTGTAATTATAAAATACATATTGAAAATATGTACACAACTAAATAAAAGAATTCATCGGAATATCATGTCTGTATGGGAAATAATACATAAAAAAAGAAAAACAAAAGATGTATACATTACTAATGAAAATGGGAATGCTCATCATATCAAAATCTAACAAACACCTTAATCGCTAAGAATTCCCTTTGGAAGTTTTATTTTACAAATCTTGCAATCAAGCAATATTCCTTGAGGGATTGGGTACACATAGCCATTGATGTTCTAAGTGTGAATGACAGTCACCTGGATGATATTCCTTTGTGAACTTTGTCCTAATTTTGCAGTCAGTCATCAGGAATGAAGAACTTTGAAAAAGAA